TGATTTTAACAAGTTAGAGTTTGTATAAGTCCTTTTGGAATTTTCTATGCTCAAATTTTCATTGGTGCTGTTCAAATTTTCAATAAATGAATTTGGAAATTTGATGAATATTAGTACTAATTGTGTTAGTGTCGATTTGGTACTAATTCTGTATAGTACATGCATGTATTTACATTCCCTAAGGGCGAGTATTGACGCTAAACAGTAGTTTGCAAAATCATATATATTTTTAATTTGTTTTTGAATAAAATTTTTATTACTTCAAAATCATTGAAGTATTTCCACATTTCTAGAGTCAGTAATTCCAAATTTTTAGAACCAGTAATTTTGAGTTCTTCAGTCCTCAATAATTGTTAAATGAAGATGTTTTATTTACAATTTACAATCCTTAGAGCCGATCTAGTAAATTTTAAAAATAAAATAAAAAAAAAAATCCTGTGAAAATTTCTTGGGAAATGTTGTTTTTTTTCCTTTTCCCCCCTTATAAAAGAAAATTAACATTGAAAATTTCTCACCTATTTTTCACCAACACCCACAATTTTCGTTTTTGTTTTTCTTTTTACTGCTTTGGTTCAGTTAAAAGTGTATAAGTGTTTAATTTGATTCGTTAAAATTAACAATTTTTCTCCTTTATGAAAAAAAACCAAAACCGTAAAATAGTGTTAAAAAAAAATGTTGTTATAAAAATTGAGGTCAATTATTCTTTTTTTTTTTTATTAAAAAAAAAAATTATTATATTTTAACTTTCGTATTTGGTCGTTATGCTAGTTTAGATTTAAAATTTTCTCTTCTAATTTTTTTTTTATAATTGGTAAATGTTTCCTGAATTCCAGAGAGTAAGATGACAGCGCGTTCTATGTATGTATGTATGTATGTATGTATTTGAAATTCACATAGTTATGAGCAGTAATTATTGACATCGAGGTTATCATTTCTTTTTTTTTTTATTCTGAGGTATGGTGACAAACTAATTAAAAAGGACGATAGAAAAATAAAGTTTTTTTTTTTGAAAAAATGGGAAAATTTACTTTAAAATTAAAAAAAATTATTCAGGACACAATCACCACCTGTAATTATCATGAATATTGTATTGTGTATAAGGAAATGGTGTTGAATGTTGATGATAAAGTAAATGGGTAAATTGGGTCTTAAAAATTCATAATTTGTTTTTATTTTTTTTTTTCGTAATTACCTGTCACTAAGTTTTAAAAAGTAAATTTAGAATACTTAATTTTAAAAATAAAATTGTAATTGGAAAGAGTAAAAGAAGAAAGAAAATATTGTCATGCCATTGGTATGTTCAGGTTTAGGCCTGAACTTAGTATGGTTAGTTTGTAAATGTTTATGAAATGTGGATGAGAATTATAGCACGTTTTCGGTTGAATGTGAATGCGGAATTCTTTTTTTATTTGAAATTTTCGATATTATGCTAGAAAGTGCATATTTTAAGGTTCGAAGAGGGATTGCTTTGCGGATTTTCGTTTGAATCATATTTATAATAAAATTGAATTTTTATACCATAACTAAAAATTAAAATTATTAAAGGTCCTTAGAATGTAAATAATTTATTATTTTAATTTGTTAAATAAATTATATATAATTTTACTATCCTCAATGGTTTTTTGATTAAGAATAAAAAAAAATTGGTTTTTGAAATGAAATAAAGTTCTATATAGTCAAAACATAAAGACTTTCAATTACATCATGACTGAATATAGCTGCCTAACTCGTTTAAAGCATAAAAACACAGGTATCTCCTGGCCATTGAGACTGAATCATTTGAGTTAAATTCACATTTCAAATGACTTGAGTGAATATATACAAAATATTAGTGATGACCGAAATGCAGTTGGCTGTATGAGGCTTACTACATATACCAAAATGATTTGTCGTTTGTGTTGGTAAAGACATTCGAATTTTGTTTTGTTCAAAATTTTGCCCCGTTTTTGAGTTTTGATTTTATAATGATTGATTGATATTTTCTCTACTTACAATAAAATTTCACAATTTCTAAACCTTAACTAATTACAATTTTTATCCGAATTACTTTTTTGCGATTTGAACCAGAAAAAATTTGACTAAAAAGATTTTCGAGAAAAAGATCTAGTGCTCCAGATACAATAGTTTCTAACATTATAATATTTATTAAGTTTTGAATAGAAAAAGATTTAGGCAATTTCGGGTTATTTCGTGCTGTTTCGAGTTAATTTTCGAGCAAGCAATTTCAAACAAACTAGTTTTTCAAATGTGTTTTTTTTTTCATAATAAACTGTACCAAAATTTTTTCGTAATTTTATTAAGGCCGAGTCAATTGTTACCGCATTTATATACGGTTAACATTTACGTATACACAGATTTTTATTTGAACATATTCAAAATTAAAAAAAATTGAGCTAAAAAACTTAATTAGAACTCAAGTTTCAGAGATTTTTAAAAGCATTTATAAAAGTTTATTGAACTATATACCGAAATAATAGCTTAAATCTCAGGAAATTTTTCATTAGAAATCTTTCAAAGGATTGCTGCAGAAATCTTTAAAGGATTGTTGCAGTATTATGTTGGAAAAAAACGTATAATAGAAATGCAATAATTATAAAATATTAAAAAAAAAATTCCAATTATTCCTTTTTAAATTTGAGCACAAATACAAAATCTATGGAGAATCTTCAAATATTAATTGTTTGTTTTTCTAATAAGTGCTGTTATTGTGGTCTAATCTTCAAAGAAGTCCTGCAAGTAGAGTACCTACGTAATTAGCAAAAAAAAATTTTTTTATCTAAATAAAGCAGCCGCCTTTGTAATTTAAAATATTAAATTTTTTTTGTATAGCTTTTTCTAAAATTATATTACCTTCTTCTCTGTTAATGATTAAAAAGGACTGTAGAAGACAAAAATTTTGTTTGAAATATTTGGAGAGGGTACAGGTAATTTTTTATGATTAAAAACAAAATTTCTAATATTTTTTTTAATTAATTTGAAATTTTAAAAAAAGAAGACGCTTTTATCTTAAAAAAAAAATCTTTTTTCATTTTTCTCATTGTTTCACTCTTTTAAGTGTTCTCGGAATAAAAAATTCATTATAGCTTGGTATTGAAATTCGAAGATTTTTTTTGTTAAATTTTTGTTTTGCTAATAAAAGTTTTAAAGTACTTTTCTATCGTCAGATTATAAGAATTTTTGGTTTTTTTAATTTTTTAATAAATATTTTGTATTAGGTGGGCACATAGATATTATGCTAAGGAAATTGTTCTATTGATTAATCTAGCAGAAAAAATACTTTCAATTTAAGTGACCCATAGATTTTTAAATGTTAAATTTTTTATAGAGCTAACACAAGAAAAAACTACAGCAGGCTGATCGTCGTCTATCTAACATAATGAATCGCCTATTTTTGAAACTGAAGCTTGAGTTTAAAAAAATTAGGTGGAAGACTCTAAATGCTCCCAAATAAAATTGGGAAATAAAAAACAAATTATTATAGAGTTCAAAGTGAACACCAATAAGCGTTTTTGTAATTATGGATCTTTTCATCTTACAATGATTTCATAGTATGCTCTCAATCTCTGCGAGTGTCCTGTTTTGGGAGGGATCAAACTGGTCTCGTGAGGAAGAGCTAGAGTGACGGGTCTAGACGAGATATCGAAAATGGGCTTCGGAGATTTATATAGATTACTTTAGAGAACCAGGTAGTTTAGATAGGTCAATGACCCTATCGATTACGGGGTAGCTCATTTATGCTAATTGGAATGCGGTGAACCTGCTACACCGGCCACGTCAAACAACTAACTAACCATGAACTTTTGTTTTCTCAAAATTAAAATTTTTTTTAAATTAATTTTCCTTTTGAACAAGTGAGTTTTGAACAAATAGTTTGACTCTTAAACTAATAAGGACCTGAATTAGGAACATATATTTATAATTTAAAATAAATGAGCATTGGTGTTGTCACAAGGTTCTGTTCTCAAGTTGCCATAATAATCACATTTATTATAAAAAATTTTATTAAATTTTCTTAGCACGGTTTTTTCTTACTGATTTGGAAGAGATTTTGCGTTGAAAGAAATTGTGTTGCCAAATTAATTAGTGTGACAAAAACATTGTTTTCTTAATTTTCCCTATCTCCTATCATCCAACCTCCACAAATTCAATATCATTTTTCATAGCTTTGTTTTTACAGTTTAAATGTCAAAACAAGAATATTAAATAAAAATTTATTTGAAATTTTTTTTTTTTTGAATACCTCACAAATTTTTTTGTGTTTTGAAGGGACATATTCCGCATAAAAACAACTTAGAACAATAAAATCATTTAATTTCCAAATTTATACTTGATTGATTTCAAATTACGTAGATAAATTTATATAGAATTTAGAAGTGTAAGGGATTGGAAATATTCTTTGAATTTTAAAAATATTTTACAAGTTTGACCATGAACTTTATTTATAAAATTGGTTTTGTTTTTCATCTAATGTGATTTTAAGTAAAATTGTGGAAGACATTTGGCATATTTAATGAACTTGAAGAGAAGAATTTTATATGGAAGATTGGAAAATAAATTAAAAAGTAATTTTTTTCCGTATATTTTTTAAATAGAACTTTTGTTTTTGAAATTTACAATGTTATTCAAATTGTTTTGGAAAAATTAATTAACCCTATACTGGCGTTATTTTTTTTTATTAGAAAATCCAAATTTTTTTTTAGTTTTTATTGAGATTATTTTGTACTGTAGCAGGTCACATATTCATTTTATGTTATTTTTAATTGATTATACATTATATACCATACTAAGAATTTCACACTATTTAGGGGGATAACTAGAAGCAGAAACTTAGTAGATCTTCGGATGCTTGAATTTACGGATAAAATCTTCCTTAAATTCTCTTATATTTCCTTTACTTTTATGCTCTTTTCTCTTTCTTTTCTCATTATTCCTCTTTCAGTTTACTTTATTCCCTTTACCTTCCCATCTCTTTCAATCGTTCCTGTAACCCTTGCTTTCCATGTTTTATAACTAACAATATTTTTTGATCATAAATAAAATTTTTTAAATTTTTATTTTGAAATTGTTAAAATTTGAGTTAAAATTTAAATTATTTTACCTTAGTTAACTAAAAACTTTAGATTCATTTTGATTTTTATCTGGATCTTTTGAAAAATTGGGTTTGCTTAATGGTTATTATTTTTATGCTGTAATTTTTTCATCCAAAAAATATCACATTAATTACAATTAAAAGTGTTTAAAAAGACTTACCTGAAATGAAAAAGAAAATAAAAATATAAAAAATTAATTTTAATTTATTGTAATAAAATTTTATGTAAAGGTTAAAATTTTCTATAAATATTTTAACATTTTTAATAAAAAATTAAAGAAAAAATATTATGAAACTCACTACAATGAAATTTTCTTAAAATTTAATTGAGTACTAAATTCAATTTTAATTAAACCCAAAAACCAATTAGTGGGAAATCTTTTCCAAAAACCAAACCAAAAGAAATAAGAGTTCACTACTGTATATGTTAAGGTTTAATTTATAAAATTAATTTTGATAAATCATTAACAATAACTATTTGCGTTATTTGTTTGAATCACCGGTAACAATGTGCGTTGGAAAATGTTGGCTCTACGCACACAATATGTAAAAAAATTTATGTTCAACATTATTTGGGTTCATACTAATTTGCCAAAAATTACATAAAATGATTGAATAAAATTTGCAATTCGAAAATTTTAGGGACGACGAATATAAGCGGCAACATAGTGTACAGAACGTGATCTCTAGGGCAATTGTGAAAAATATTTTTAATTTAATTTAACTTTAACATGAATTGAAGATTGAAGTATACCCAATTACCGTCCCAATAATTACATTTGCATTGCGAATTTGATTCATCTGATTTATGAAATTTCCTAATAAAAGGAGCCAAAAACGTATTTTTAGATTAGAAAATTGGGGAAACAAATGTTTATAGCATTATTTTTCACAGAATTTTCAAGGTGTTTTCCGGATCGGATGTAGAATTCCAAATTTTTCAACCTCAGTTCTAAGAAATAAAGAAGCAGAGTTGTGCATAAACGAGCTTTTCAATTGGATTACTCTATCATTTCAGGAGGAAAAATTATAGAATTTTCTGGACAAACATTTTAAATTATTTACACACTTATCAATTTTAATTTTTTCGTTAAATTCCCTTTGATATAAAATAGAATTTTATCCAAGTCTTATACTAAACAATATTCAAATAATGTTAGAATTTAATTTTGGGTCAATATTTTTTTAAAAAAAATAAATTCCTAGAAAAACATGTTTACTTTGTCCGAATTAGGAAAATAATCTATTTTTATTATTATTTTTCCTTTATAAAGGACATTTTTTAATTTTCACTTCATTAATTTTGCAATTTTCTTCTCTCTGTGTTTTTTTTTTGGAAAGTATTGTCAATTTAGGAAGGAAATATACAATTTTATCTCTTATATAAATTACAATTACATATTTTATATGTTTGTCGGTTTATCGTTCGTATGTTTATGTATATATACAATATATACATATATCAATTTAATAAATATTAAAAGTCATTTACTTTCGATTATACAAATAAATTCAAAATCCTTGGAAAATATTTTCAAAAAATATTTACTAAAAACAGAATTTTTTAAAATTACATGCAACAAAATAAACTTTTTTTCACATAAAATTTAATTTCCTATAAATTTTATATTTAAAGTTTGATATTTCTCACATTTATTATAAGGAAAGTAGGAATCTTAAATGGAAATGTCAAGAATACTTCTTGGAATCAGGAGATATACATACATATTAACCCAATTTTTTTCTCAGTGTCTAATTTGCGCACAGGCTTTTAAGGTTGCATCCAACAATTGAGTGATCACTTTTTGAATCAATTTTGTTCAATGTAATTCTAAAAATCAGTTTTTTTTATTGATTGTTCTAAAATTTAAAATATAATTCCGTGAAACTTTAAGATATCTGTTCATTGAAGAGTTGAATTTTATTAAAAATATTTTGTAGGTGTCTTAGAAACTGAGGTCATTGTACGTATAATATGATGATAAGTCCTTTTCTTTCTTTACTTAATATTTTAATTATTTTAATATTTTGCAATATTGTCTAAAATAAAAATTTTGAATATCAATTGTAAAGCATTGGTCACAAAAATACAATATCGTGTAATGTAAATTATTTGGACATCTTTAAGGTTCACATATGTTAAAAATATCTGTGGCAGAAAGCCAACACTGCATTTTGTCGCCTTAGTACATAAAAGAAATATTTATATTACAATTTTTGAATTCTAGATGTTGAAATTTTCAATAAAGTAAAAATTTGTTCGAACCGGAGTATTAAACAGATAAAACAGTAATCTTTTGGGTAGGTAATAATTTTTTTGACATAGGGGTTCTATAAGGTATTAATCTCACAAGATATTTGCGTATTTATTCGAAGGACAGGTCGCGGAAAAATATTTTTAGCATCATCACTTCTGATACGTCTAATTGCAATACAGGGCCTATAATCTAATACATCTAAATCTGTAAGTGTTCCAAATTAAAGTATGATAAAAGCATCTCTTATAAAATATGACTTTAAATCTTAATTCACGATTTATAGAAGATTTTTCTTAATTGTCACATAATACACAAAATTTCAAAATTCGGACAACATTTCATATTCTTTGTCTTTTAAATGTTATGAAGGCATTAATTGATTTACAATTCACTTTGAATATTTGTTAAATCCATTTAGAACTATATGTACTTATAATTTATATATAGGGGCTTAAATTATGTGCGTCGTATTAAGAGAACCGGAAATTGAAAATATTGGGTAAGCCTTAACTTCCATACAAACAAACAGCAACAAATGTTGGAAATACTTGAATATCTACATTTATGGTGCATATTACATAATATGATCATATGCATGTAAATTGTACAATAACCATGTTTGTATCTACATACATATATAAAAATATGGAAGTAAAGGTAAACTAAATACATATAGGGATTTGAATTCATAAATATATTAGGAGAAGATAGTCTACTGCTGAATTACATGCTGAAGAATGAAATTCATATATAAAAATACAAACTATGTAGGTACTCGTATGTACATTGTACATAATAAAAATGCTCCTTCTCACCCCTATGTGTATGTAAAACATAACCTCCTTTATTATTGCTCAAAATTCGTAATCTAAATTAATATTTTGTTTTTCTTTTTCTCATATCCGTTTCTGATTATGTTTTAAAGAAAAAAAAAATTTTTTTTTTTTTGGTAGGTCTTATATAGGTGGAATTCCGAGTAAAATAAAAATATAGAATAAGTACAGGAAGAAATAACAATATGGATGAATTAAATTACACATCCTTGTACAATAATAAATTTATTTATATATATACTTAATTCTAATTTTGGTTACTGAATAATTGATAGGCTATAAATACAATAGGGAGAAAAAATAAAAATATAAGTAAATATGAAATTTTATTTTCATTTACATTTGGCACGCATATTATGTACAAAAATAAATCCTTATGAACTTAATATGATGATGGTCAGTTATATATATATATACTTATATATTTAGGACGTTGAAAATATATAATTTAATTTAGAGAGATCTAACACGAAAACAGTAAAATTACTAAATTTCAAATATGAATATTTCAAATAAATTTTAATTATAGGGATAGTGGCGAATTTGCCACTCAGAAATATTTTATAAGGACTAAGGCATTAATTTCGGCATTGACCTATTGTGAACATTATTGTGGAAAAAACCATATATTTAAAAATTTAATGTGATCAACATAATTAGAATCTACTGGCTTGTGTACTTTAACCGAGTAATACAAGTATGTAATACAAATCATAATTAATGAGGGTCTATGGCAGTAGATTCTCGCATGGCTAGGTAAAATTCTTGCATGGAGACAATGTTCACAGCTTAAAACCGCTCACTCTTGACTTTTTTCTTCTTATTTTTTGAAATTTAAACTATGATTCCAGCGTCCAATAGCTGCGTTATTAAATATGGTTTGATAACCCCAAAACAAATATCTCATAAACATTATTTATAATCAAAAAGTTTAATTTTTTTTTTGGGTATCGTAATATTGCAGCTTTCTCTATAAATTTAGTATACAATTTAGAGTGTTTTATATATTAATTATATTAAGGTATTTCTAATTTTAGTCTTTCGTAAAGCTGCAGATGTTCTTAACTTCTAAGAATATAAAGTAGTGATAATGGTAGACCTTCTTTCAAAACGCTATTGTCTTAAAATAATCTTACTCTGATATATTTTGGATATGGATCTGCCATATATCAAAAAATTTTCTAAAAATATTCATAAGAAAATGTCTATATACTCGTAAATTGATCTAATTTTTAAAATTGTTCGTCGGAATTAATGTCTCATGTATGTTTATCGTAATAAGCAATAAGGTAATGAAAAATTTCATTATGAATTTCTGGTTTCATATTCACAATGTTATTTAATTAATTATTTATCTATAATTATAATAATTATAATGTCAAATTTTTAATGTCTACCGTATTACCGTTTATTTACCGTATAGAAGCAATTTCTATTAAATACACAAGCTAATATAGGTTTACTTATCTTCCCCTTAAGTTATTGCTACCATTCAAATACAATGAGAGTTCCGGTGGTCTTCATTGTAGGTCGTTCTTTTTAGGTATATTATTATACCGTGCACTTCGTGAAGGGTATATTTACTTTGGTATGGAGTTTGTAACTACTTGAAGGAGTCATCTGCGGTATGGACATATATATATATATATTCTTGCTCAGCATAAAAATTCTGCGTTGATTAAGATATGTCCGTCCTTCCGTCCGATCGCACGATAACTCAAAAACGAATAATGCAATCGACACCAAACTTTCACAAGTTATTTCTTTTGTGCCAAGGACGAACCCTATTGTAATTGGACTAATTCGGACTACGGGTTCAGGTAGCTGCCATACAACTCAAAGAATTTATTTTAAGTATTTTAAAAGTAAGTATAAAGGTATAAATAAAAAATTATATTCTAAATATGCTCTAAAAATTTCAACGGGATAGCTATACCGGTTCGGGTGGCTGCCACACAACTCCAAAAGCAAATTTTTTATATTAGGAAAATAATAAAGTCAGATTCATGAAACTTGGCAGTTGTGTCCAGTTATTGGTCAGACATATCCATGAAGTTTCTATAGAACGGT